TTATTATTATTATTATTATTATTATTACTATTAAGATAGGGTCTTAACTTGCCATTTTTCTGCCTTAGCCTTCTAGAGTATTGATATCATAGGTCTCTTTTTTTTTGTCTTTTTGAGACAGGGTCTTGCTATGTAGTTCAGGCTGGCTTTCAGCTCACTTTGTAGCCTAGGCTGGTCTCAAACTTGCAAAGATCCTCCTGCCTCAGCCTCCCAAGTACTAGGATTACAGGCATACGCCACACCTGGCTTTATTGTAAGTCTTAGCCACCATGCTTGGCTGCAATTTTTTTTTTTAATACTTTCAGTCAACAGTTAGTTGAAACCATAGATGCAGAACCCACATATATGAAGGGCCAATGGCATATCTGAAAATACAATGTAAGCTTTTCCATGTTTGGACTGTGGTTTGGTACAGCTGTGTGCATACATTCAGATAAATCCATGAAAGGTTGTCAGTGATTCAGATAAGAACGCATTTTACCAAGATAGTAAGTTTTGAAGCTTGGCACAGTGGCACATGCATGAAATCCCAGCACTTTGGAGGCAGAGACAGGAGGCTTACAAGTTTGAGTCCCGCCTGAGTAATTTAGCAAGACTCTGTCTCAAAATAAAAGGGCTAGGGATATAGCTCAGTGGTAGAGCATCCCAGTGCCAGAGAAAAAGATAGAGAATGATTTGGCACTAGCATACAAGAGAAAGAAAATACAAACCCTAGAAATTAAATGCAGGTTACTCTGTGCAGAGTAAAAAATCCAGGCCTACAAACTTCCCAGACTTTCCTGGCAGGAGAGTATGGGCAGACCTGTAGCCCATGTCAAAGATGGTCCTGCTCTACTCAGGCTGCAAAAAGAAAACTGTAGTAAAGCAGTAGGTAGTAGTAGTAGTAGTAGTAGTAGTGTTCTTCTGTCATAGAATTTAGGATATGTGGGACTTAGAGCCTGCATGTGAAACAAGTCAAGTGCTGGGTTTAAGTTGTGGAGAAAAAGGATTTGTGGGACCTAGATCCTTCATGTGTACAGTTGCTGCTTTTACTTAAGGCCACCCGGAGGAGTTACCTGGTGTGTTGGGCTCATGTCTTGACTGTCACCGCTTCTTCTAGGGTGCTGTGATCCCAACAATGGATTCTTGAGGAAAGATGTACTTTTATGAAAGGGGGGCCAGGCATGGTGGCACATGCCTGTAATCCCAGCACTTGGGAGGCTGAGGCAGGGTGGCACACACCTGTAATCCCAGCACTTGGGAGGTTGAGCCAGGAGGATCACTGCGAGTTTGAGACCACCGTGGGCTACATAAGTGAGCTCAAGGCCAGCCTGAACTGCATAGTGAGACCCTGTCTCCAAAAGTCAAAAAAAGAAAAGAAAAGAAAGGGGGCCCCAGAAAATATAGCAGGCTTTGCTGTCTATCTAGAAGCAGTTATTAAAGAATAGGGGGAAAACCTGAAAAGGGAGGCTTGGGAAGATTATGAATGTGTCTTGCACTCAGCCATCCCTTTCTGAGTTCTGTAGCAAGGCTGAAAAGACTTGTCATTCAGACTCACCCCTTGACCCGTGAGCTTTACAGTTCCTCATTCAGTCATTTGAATTTCAAGTCTTACTATGCAAGGAAGTTTTCATGCAATCATTTCTGTTCCTGTGGGGCAGTCTCATGTCAGAACACAAAATCCAGCCCCCAAAGTAACTAGATTTAGTTCTTTTGGAGGGTGAGCACAGAAGGTTTAGACAGAGCCTGCTAGATTAAATGTCTTCTAGCCCCTATGGGTGCCAGAGGTCACCATGGAGAGTCCCCACGGCCTTCCCCAGTGACTAGAAGCAATCCCCAGCGTGAGTCTTCTATGATTCTCTTAGCCCTTGCTTCCTCCTGCCTGAGTTTACATCACAAAGTTCCAGATAGAAGGCTGTACGCAAACCCAGAACTTTTGTGGCACATTTAATTGATTAATTTGAAGATTAAATTTTTCATTGTTGTTTTAAGATAGGGTCTCACAATGTATTGAACTGAACTCATAGTGATCTTCCTGCCTTAGCTTCCCGAGTACTGGGATTATAGGTGTGTACCACCAGGCCAGCTAAAGATTAAAATTATTAACCCTTAATTTGATTATTTCACCCTTAAGTATATAAAGTTTCTAACAATGTTACATGTTACTAGAGTAGATCTTTGTTAGAGGTATCATTTATTTGGTTAGCAAATAAGTTGCTGTCATGGCTTTTTTCCACTAGGTGGCATTTTCCCGTCTGTGTTTTCTTTTTCCCTCCTCGAAACCCTGCTCCCTCAGTATTGGGGATTAAGCCTAGGTAGGCCTTGCACATGTCAGGTAAGCTCTGTATCACTGAGCTACATCTGTGCCCTTTTTTATTTTATTTTGAGACCGGGTATATTGCCTGGGCTGGCTTGGAACTCATAATCCTCCCACCTCAAGCTCACAAGTGGCTAGGATTACAGGCAGGTGCCAGTGTACCCAGCTTTCATTTACACAATTATAAATAGAGGACCCCAAAGAACTCATTTTGGGTTTTTTTCTATTGATATTTACTATTCTTAGAAGTTAAATTTTAAATTATATGTGTGTGTGTGTGTGTGTGTGTGTGTGTGTGTGTGTGTGTATTTTATGAGACAGGGTCTTGCTGTGTAGTTCAGGCTGGCCTTGAACTCACTATGTAACCCAGGCTGGCCTCAGACTTGCAGCAATCCTCCTGCCTCAGCCTCCCAAGTGCTGGGATTACAGATGTGCACCACCATACTTGGCAAAATTATATTTACTTACCTTAAAATAACAAAAGTCAACCCATTACATACTAATATAAATGACATTTTTCTGTAAAATAATTATTTCCAAAATAAAGAAGAATGTTAGTAAAGAGCGGCATTGTTTTACTCTTTACAAGTCTCTCTATTGTGCCACTTATAAAAGTCAGCTGGATTCACGTAATGGTTTGTGAATTCAGTCTGTTACAGTATGTCTTTTTGTTAAGTTTTTTGTTTTGTTTTGTTTTATTTTTGGCAGTACTGGGTGTTGAACCTGTGTTAGACACTACTCTACCACTGAGCTTTATCCCACGCACTTTTTATTCTTTGAGACTAGGTCTCACTAAGTTGCCAAGACTGGCCTCAATTTTGTTCTTTCTACCTCAGCCTCCCAGGTAGTTGGGATTATAAACATGCAGCACTGTATCCAGCTTATAATATTTGAAGAAAATCTGACTTTATACAGAAAATCTGACTTTACACAGATAGGTGGTTGAAGGGAGGAAAGTAGCTATAGTTATTCTTTTTTGATACTTCATCAAAACTCAGCAAGTGGTAGTTTTCTAAAGGTTAGTCGCAATGAGGAATGTAAAACTAATCAGTGAATTTGTTGTCCTAAAACCATGGATTTGCCTTATACTCCAAATGAGTCTTTTACCCATTGGTGATTTTACATTACCAGGCAACAATATTGGTTTCCTTAGTAAAGCAGATTTTCTAAATATTGACACATTTGGTCCCATAATATCCAAAAAACTGTACTTGCTAGTGATGTCACTGTTCTCATTATATAAACTATTAAATATTTAAAAGCAGTCAGGGTTACATTTTCCAAGGTTCTAGTCATTT